AATCAGCCCAGCAGTGTTCAGCAGTTAAACAGCCTGCATTGAAATGGCCACTGCACTTCTATTCAGTGGCAGATGAAGGGAGTTGATGTAAGCAGGGCCAGACCACATTAGAAGAGAATTGGGATCTGCTCTAAAATAGAGGTAAGTAGCAGGGCTTGGTGGTGCATGGCTGTAATCCAGTGCAGGAGGCTAAGGCAGGAGGATGGCAAGTTTGAAGACAGCCTGAGCTGTCTGGAAGGGACGGAGGGAGGAAGATGACATAAAAAGAATTAAGATGTGTTATGTACATGTGCCAGCTCCCCATGATGAATATAAATCACTAAGTGCTGCAAACATAAACTAATAAAAGTTAAAAATATAAAAACATGACTCCTCCAAAAAGGTAAGTAAATGATAAAGCGCTAATAAAAACATAATGCAAGCCACATATATAGTTTTATAGTTTCTAGTAATCATTAAAAATGCAAAAGATACAGGTAAAACTAATTTTAATAATTGTTTAACTCAGTATGTTAAATATTCTATCACTTAAACATGTAATTAGTTTTAAACAATTTTTGGGGGGTGTGATTGAACTCAGGGCCAATGCTCTGAGGTACAGTAATAGCTTCTTTTTTTTAAGTTTATTTTGTAGACAGCCATGGTGGCCCATGTTTATAATACCAGTACATGGGAGGCTGAAGCAGGAGGACTGCAATGAGTTCTGGGCCAGCTTGGCCTATACAGTGAGTTTAAGGCCAACCTTGGCTTCAAAGCAAGATGGTGTTTCAAAAAAATTTTTTTTCAAATTTTGAGACAGTGTTTCACTAAGTAGTTAAATGAATCAGACTGAGCCTGAAGTTGCTATCCTGTCTCACCCTCCCAGAGGGATGAGATCACAAGTGTGTACCATCATGCCTGGCCATAATCGATTACTGAGTTATTCCACATCCATTTTCATATTAAGCCTTCCAAATTCAGTCTGAACTTTACACTTTAAGTACATTTCAAATCAAGCTACTCAATGGCCACATATGACTAGTGGCTACCATATTATTCTATGCACTTGTAAACCAGCATGAGGGTACATGCCTGTAATTTCAGCTACTGGGGAGACTGAGGCAACAGGGTCTCAAATTTGAATATAGTCTGAGGAATTTATTTTAAAAGGGGATGGGGATCTAGCTCAGTAAAAAGCTCTAGGGCTCTATCCCCAGTGTCACCCCCCCCCCCAAAATGTAGTTCCAAATTGTAGATTATTATGGCCTGTAACACTGGTCAAAGCAGACATTAAAAACAAGATGTAGGGGCTGGGGATTTAGCTTAGCAGCATAAGCGCCTGCTTTGCAAGCAGGCAGTCGTGAGTTCAATCCCTGGTACCAATAAAAAACGAAAAAGAAAAGAAAAAAAATATTAAAAAAAAACAAGATGCAATTACCCCCTATTTTTAGCCCAAATATTCTGCATTAGGACGGCCTGGCTTTGGTACATATTGCCAAAGAATAGAAAGACAGTATTGGGCAAAGTAAGAGATTACACCTGTAACCCCAGCACTTGGAAGGCTGTGGCAGGAGGATCAAGGTGAATTCAAGACCAGCCTGAGCTATGCTACATAAGTGAGTTCAAGGCCAGTCTGCACTACATAGCATGCAGACTGCTCAAAAAAAAAAAAAGATAGTATTGGGTTTTTCTTCTTTTTCCCCTTATGTCCCAAGTTTTTTAAATCAACTACATATAGTTGCAATCATACTTTATATAGAATTTCATGATATCTTGACATTTTTGCATGTTTATAACATAACATTTTATTAGCTACAATTTTTTTTTTTTTTTTTTGGTATTGGAGATTGAACTCATAACCTCACACTTGCCAGGCAGGTGCTGTGCCACTGAGCTATATCCCTGGCCCCAAAAATGATTTTTTTTTTTTTTTTTTTTTTTTTTTGGTACCGGGATTGAACTACAACCTTACACTTGCCAGGCAGACACTTGTGCTGATGAGCTAAACTCCCAGCCCCTCCAAAATGATTTTTGATGAGATATAATTTGTAGTGTTTATATTTTTATCTATTGTTCAATTTAAGTGTTTTTTCCTATTTTCAGTATTATACATAATTTTTTCATGTGAAAGCAGATATTATTGAATTTTTACATGTTCTGAAAACTGGCCTTGAATTCCCTATATACTTCTAGTTAGCCTCAAGACTCGGGAAAGTTATAGTACTCCACTTCTTTAAACCTTTTTCTTTTTTTCTTTTTCCTTTTTGGTACCGGAAATCGAGCTCAGGACCTTGTGCTTGCCAGGTAAATCTTTTTCTTCTTATCTAAAAAAAAAAAAAAAAAAATTGTGACTTTGGCTAGTTGTGGTGGTACATGCCTATACCCCCAGCATTCTGAGAGGCTGAGGCAGAAAGATCACAAGTTTGATCCTCGCCACATAGGAGAACCAATCTTAAAGAAATTTTAAAGGCTCATAATGTAGTTAAACGTAAGTTCTGGCTCAGTCCCCAGTAATGAGGGGAGGGAAATGTTATGGTCTTGAAAAGATTTACTTGACCCGTTTGTTGTATTATCAATGAGATAATACAAGAAATAGAACCTGTTACAAAATCAAGTGCTTAACAAAAATAGGATTTATGGTGGCATACACCTATAATTCTAGCATTTATAGTACTGCCAGGAGTTCAAGGCCAGCCTGAACTACATAGCAAGACCTTGTCTCAAAAAACAACACAAAACAAAAAGCAAAGATTAAGAAACAAAACAAAACAACCCCATTTCCATTAGCTGGCTTGCTTACATGAAATAGAAGTAAAATGCTCAAAACAATTGTTTTTGAGACAAGATCTTACTACATAGGCTACCCTCAAATTTGTAGCCTCTGTTTTGTTTTTGTTTTTCTGAGACAGGGTTTCACTATTTAGATGAGGGTGGCCTCAAACTCATGGCAATCCTCCTGCCTCAGCCTCTCAAGTGCTGGGATTATAGGCATGCACCACCATGGCTGCCCTGACTTGGTCTTTTTTAGTTTAGGTTCTATTGTTTTTGTTTTTTGAGACACGGTCTTTCTATGTAGTTCAGGCCGGTCTGGACTCAATATGTAGACCAGGCTGGCCTCAAACTCAGTATCTTTCTGCCTCAGCCTCCCAACTGCTGAGATTACAGATTTGCACCACCACACCCACCTCCTGACTCCATTCTGAGTGCAAGGATTACAAGGGTGTGCAACTACACCCTACATTGAGTGCAAGGATTACAAGGGTGTGCAACTACACCCTAATTTTTCAATAAATTAGATCAACATCCGTATAAATAGACCTTTTTTCTAGGGAACTAAGAGTTTGTCTTCAGTGTACATCTTTGTAAAAGTTCTCCTAGATCACTGAAGCTGAGATGGCTGATAAACTTGCAGGGGAGTTTTTAAGTAATTGTGGCTCTGCTCCAAATTCTTCTTCCAAGGTAAGGAATTGTGAAGGAGAAATGGGGGTGAGGGAAAGAGCGGGGCATTAGTGTTTTTAATAATCTGGTTTGCTAATAGGGATCTCCTCACCCCAGCCGAGGTTGTTTTAATTTTTTGCTTGGGCTCATGTGACTCTCGTCCTCAAACTTGTAATATGGTATGCCTATCTTGGAAATTTAGCACCTCTTTACTTCTAAGGTGTAGCTGTCTACTAAAATGTGGCATCCTGCCTTCCCCAGCACCAAGTCTCATTTGGTATCTTAGGGTGTTGCCATGTGGAAACTTGGTAGGGAAAAGTTCCCCAAGTGTCTGAAATGCTGGGAAATTGAAGTTGGTGGGGAGGGAGTGCAGTACACAAATCTCCAGTTTGTGCATGTTTCAGTCAACCAAGATCCAGAAGGGACGGCATTGTATGTTGGGCATACTGTCACGCGGTGTAAATATAAATAGGTATGAGCCCCTCACTGGCAGACTAAAGAAACCTTTACGAGCACAGTGGAGATAGGCCTGCTGTGGAAGGCATCACAGGAGGGGATGCTGGTGTTTGCAGTTGTCTGAGAACAGATTGCAGGTACAGAGGTGTGGTCTGCATGCCAGGTATACCTATGAGGAGGAGGAATGTGGAAACTTTCGAAAAGTCGCTAGGTCTTGGGTTTAAAGCTGCAGGAGGAAATTTGAGCTTTATCTGGCCAAGAAAGGGGAGCCAGTTTGATAGCAGTGCAGGTTGGAGGGATGATGACCTAGAAGCTGATAGACTGTAACAGTCCAGACAAAAGAGACAAACGAGGACGACAAGACTCGTAATTAGTAGGTCTGCGTGAGAAATGTTCTCTGCTTTATCACCGGGGAGACCTGGTGGATGGAGGCGTCATTAAGCAAGCTGAAAAGTAAGCTGTTTCCTGGAATGCTCCATTCAAAACACCCACTTCCGGCAATATCCCATCTTCTAGTGTTTTCTCGCATAGGAAACCAGTTTCCAGGAAACGCCCCACCCGCCTCCACATATTGGGCCTCTGCCTTCCAACAGCTCGCTGTTGGCCAGCAGCACAGCCAAGATGGCGGCCCCCAAGCACTGAGAGATCATGTGACTTCGGGTTTTCCTAGCTTGAAGCCTGCGGCCAGTTCCGAGGCAAGGCTCATTTCTGTCACCCAACGGGTGTCAGCCTTTCCAATCTCGCGAGCCAATCGCCATCGGAGACCGGACTGCGGCAGTGAGATCAGAAGACTGGAGCTTTCCAGTTGCGTAGTCAGGGGCCAATCACCAAGCGTGTATAGTTGGAGAGTCCTTCCGTAGGCAAAGGAGAATCGGGAATGTCGTCACTGTGCAGCAGTTTTGTTACCTAAGTACGCGAGAGGAGGTGGGACATATGTTGATTGATAGACAAATTTCCCCTACCGGGATTTGATAATTTGGTGTAGTGCCCCGCCTTAAAGGCGGGGTCTTATTTGATTGCCAAGTCGTATTCCCCAATGGGGTTCCAGCCGGGTGTGACGGGCACCCTGCTTGACTAATGAATCCTCGACGTGGCCCGAGCAGCTCTCCAATCGCGGAGCGGCGGGCCCCAGTCTGAGCGGCGATGGCGGCGGCGGCGGCGGCGGCAGCAGCAGCAGGGGCTGCGGGTGGTCGGGGCTCCGGGCCGGGGCGGAGGCGCCATCTTGTGCCCGGGGCCGGTGGGGAGGCCGGGGAGGGGGCCCCGGGGGGCGCAGGGGACTACGGGAACGGCGTGGAGTCTGAGGAACTGGAGCCTGGGGAGCTGCTGCTGGAGCCCGAGCCGGAGCCCGAGCCCGAAGAGGAGCCGCCCCGGCCCCGCGCCCCCCCGGGAGCTCCTGGCCCTGGGCCTGGCTCGGGAGCCGCCGGTAGCCAAGAGGAGGAGGAAGAGCCGGGGCTAGTGGAGAGTGACCCGGGGGACGGCGCCATTGAGGACCCGGTGAGGGAAGGAGGGCGGGCGGGCGGGTCACGAGAGGCGCGGAGCTCGTACTGGAGGCCGGCGGGGGTTGGGCTTGGCTGGGGCGGGGAATAACGTGGCTGGGGCCGGGCAGGGGACGGGCCCGGGGTCGCCACTCAAGGCTCGGCCGGCGGAGTCGGGCGTCATGGGTGTCTAGCGTTGTCGTGGGGAAGGTAGTTTGCTTTTCTTTGATTCTCGAGCCTCGCGCCGGTCGAGGGAAATGGCCGAGCGTGGCTGGGGCTGCTTGCGGAGCCAGAACGCGGCGCAGCCCCTGCGTCTGGCCCTCAGAGGCTCCTCTCCATGCCCTCCCATTCATTGTAGGAACTGGAAGCAATCAAAGCTCGAGTCAGAGAGATGGAGGAAGAAGCTGAGAAGCTAAAGGAGCTGCAGAACGAGGTAGAGAAGCAGATGAATATGAGTCCACCACCGGGCAATGGTGAGTAAACCGGTGGTTTGCACGCACCCCGAGGCCTCTGGTTGTGGGGGGTGGGGGGCACAGGAAATACGGCATGAAATACCGGGGACCCCGGAGCTGCTTGTATGGCAGATGCTGTGGTCATAGTCCATTGTGTGCTCCGTTGACCTTTGTGAGAATAGATAAAATAGAACCGTGTGTTTTGGCGGTGGGAGTCTTGTGCCTTCCTTTGTCCTTGTTAAAAAATGTGTTTCTCTTTGTTCTAAATCTGCCTCTACCTCTCTTGAGGTTGCCATCTGCCATTTGACCTTCAAGTCTAAATTTTTCTGTTTTGTATTGTTGCAGTTGGAGAGTCTTTAGTTAGAAGTTTTAAGGGAAAGTGCTTGGCTGCAAGAGGCTTCTTTGATCTAAAAATGTCGAGTCTCAGCCCCTTAGTTTTGTTCACTTTTAAAGGCATTCAATAAGGACTTGGTTTGGGGGTGGAGGGTCTATATTTTTTTGTGACTTTTAAGTAAACATATTTATTCATGTGTTTATTTTTTGAGACAGGGTCTCGAGTAGTTTAGGCTGGTCTTGAGTTAAATGTGTAGCCTAGACTAGCCTAAAATTCGTGACAATCCTCCTGCCTCAGCCTTCTCAGTGATGGGAATATAGGTGTGTGCCCAACACGCCTGGCTTCTTTGTGAATTTTGAGGGTATATTAATTTATATGTTGATTTGCCAAATATTTAGTGAGAAACTGTTAGGTGCTGGGCTCCTTTCCCGGTGATGGAGACAGCCGAGAATAAAATAGAGAAGACCATAAATCCGCCTTGGTTTCGTTTGTGTTATGATGGTAGTGGGAGTGTATATATTGGCTCAGTAGAAAACATGTTTATGTGGGGCATGGTGGTGCATGCCTGTAATCCCAGCTCTGGGGAGTTTGAGGCAACAGGATCACAAGTGTCCGGGCGAGCCTGAACTGCATAGCTATACCCTGTGTCAAAAACCAAAAAAGAGAAAAACAGTGGGTTTCTTTTTTTTTCCTCAAAGCTGGCCCTGTGATTATGTCTATTGAAGAGAGAATGGAGGCTGATGCCCGCTCCATCTATGTTGGCAACGTATGTATTAGGGATTTCATTGAGATTTGTGGGAACATTCTTGGAAGAGTTAATAATTTTGAACATTTCCAGTATAGGTGGTGGATCCTGGGTGTGGGGAGAGTTGGGAAGATGATGGAATTACCAACAAAAGCTCTGGAGTCCGAAGTAAAAGTATTACTTGGTGTGCCTTGCTATGTGGAGATAGCCCAGACTAAAATCAGTCAGGGGTCTTGTTGAGACCAGAGCTGGCCTGGTACCTGTAAAATGTGTTTCCTTCCTCAGGTGGATTATGGTGCGACAGCAGAGGAGCTAGAAGCTCATTTTCATGGCTGTGGTTCAGTCAACCGAGTCACTATACTTTGTGACAAATTTAGTGGCCATCCCAAAGGGTAAGTAGGAAAATAAATTCAAATTGTATTAATCAGTTTAAAAACTGTTACAGCTGGGCGTGGTGGCATACGCCTGTAATCCCAGCACTCTGGGAGGCTGAGGCAAGAGGATTACTTTGAGTTTTGAGGCCATCCTGCACTCTATAGTGAGACTGTCTCAAAACAAACAAAAGATGACTGTGAGGCTTTTGTTTTTGTGGTGGGGGGATTTAAACCCATGGTGCTACTAGTGCATGTTAGGTGTTTTCTCTGCCACTAAGTGGTAACACCTGCAACAGCTAATGCTTTTTTCATTGAGCAGAAATTTACTTGATGTTAAAGCAAATGGTCTTTTCCCCTCTAATATGTTGTATTAATGTTGATGTATATCAAAGGTTGCACATAAAAATGCCTTCTGAGGCCAGACAGACAATAAAATTAAAGGTTAGGTATGGGTAGAATTGAGAAGAGGAGGGGACAGACAGCTTCTTGTTGGCCTCTGCTTTTATTATAGCTATATGGAAAACCAGGCTTTGTGATCCTGTTTTGTGATTTTCTAAGAATAGCTAGAAATTCTGACTAAAACCTTCTATTTTAAAGTGAATAATTAAAAGTGAATAATTTAAAGTGAATAATTAAAAATGTAAACGCATGGTACTTAAGATTAAATGCAACTTGTGGAATGCTTTGAGCTATTTGTGAACTTGGACAATTATTCTCTTTAGGTTTGCATATATAGAGTTCTCAGACAAAGAATCAGTGAGGACTTCCCTGGCTTTAGATGAGTCCCTGTTTAGAGGAAGACAGATCAAGGTAAGCTCTCCCCTTTCCGTTGCAGTGATCTAGGTGCTCTGCAGGCTTATTCTCAGGCTTTCTGTTGTATGTTACTCTCAGGTGATCCCAAAACGAACCAATAGACCAGGCATCAGCACAACAGACCGGGGTTTCCCACGTGCCCGCTACCGTGCCCGGACCACCAACTACAACAGTTCCCGCTCTCGATTCTACAGTGGTTTTAACAGCAGGCCCCGAGGTCGCGTCTACAGGTCAGGATAGATGGGCTGCTCCTCTTTCCCCGCCTCCCATGAACCCTGTATGCTTCATTCTCTCCTGATCTGAGGACCTTCCTTCCCCTCCCCCCTGGTCTCCAGGGACTTGGTCTCCAGGCTGTGCAGGGTGAGGAAGCTAGTTGCAGGCCAGGTCAGGAGGCCAGTCTCATCTTTTTTTCTGGAGCAGAAATGGTGATAAGGGCTGATCTCTTGAGATGCTTCCTCCAGGCGTTTTTTTTTTTTTTTTTTTTTTTTTTTTTTTTTCTTTTGGAGAGCTGGTTGCTGGGAAGTTGTTGACAAAAAGTAGGAGGAATGGGGCCTCAAGGCTGTGATTGCTGCTTTTCCTGGGGTTAGGGAGAGGTCAAAACTCCATTGGAAGACCAGAGACTAGTTGATTATTCCAAGGCCATGTGGGAGCATTTTGAGATACTCTTTAATTGAGCCAGTCTTTTTCCAAGGTTACTTTTTCACTGGGCCTAGTGTGGTGCCGGTATGTGGCTTTGGCTTTGGTTGTTTCTCATTTCTTTAAATTTAATAGGTAAGCATAAGGCCTTGACTTTTCATAAGGCAGCGTTTAAGAGCTGTGCACCATGAAAACTGGATAAACAGCAGGTCCTCTTTCTTCCTGCTGTATCTCAGATGCACTTCTTTATTGCTACTGTTTGGCCAAGTAGTCTTAGTGCCCCCACTACCCCCTACTTGCCAGGTGTCTTGTTATTTCTGGGATTGTGGAGTTGGTTTTAAAGACACTTGGAAACTTCTTTTCCCCACTTTCATTCCCAGTAACTAGGGCAAGGGCCCACGGGGAGGGGCTTGTGCTGACCTGTCTAGTGATCATGTTAACACCTGACTCTCCTTCTTTCTTCCAGGGGCCGGGCTAGAGCGACATCATGGTATTCCCCTTACTAAAAAAAGTGTGTATTAGGAGGAGAGAGAGGAAAAAAAGAGGAAAGAAGGAAAAAAAAAAAAAAGAATTAAAAAAAAAAAAGAAAAACAGAAGATGACCTTGATGGAAAAAAAAATATTTTTTAAAAAAAAGATATACTGTGGAAGGGGGGAGAATCCCATAACTAACTGCTGAGGAGGGACCTGCTCTGGGGAGTAGGGGAAGGCCCGGGGAGCGGGGCAGGGGGCTGCTCATCCACTCTGGGGATCCGCCATGGACACTTCTCAACTGTGCAAGCTGCTGCCCATGTTTCCCTGCCCTGCTTCGCCCCTCTGGGGCTGCTCGAGGGTAGGTGGGCACGGGTGGCTAGGAGGGTTTTTTTTTACCCAGGGCTCTGGAAGGACACCAAACTGTTCTGCTTGTTCCCTTCCCTCCATCTTCTCCCTGCCTTTCACAGCCCCTTCCTGCCTGCTTCTGTCCTGCCAGGGTTACCACCCCACCCCTCCAGATTGCCTGGTGATCTATTTTGTTTCCTTTTGTGTTTCTTTTTCTGTTTTGAGTGTCTTTCTTTGCAGGTTTCTGTAGCCGGAAGAACTCCCGTTCCGCTCCCAGCGGCTCCAGTGTAAATTCCCCTTCCCCCTGGGGAAATGCACTACCTTGTTTTGGGGTTTTGGGTTTTTTTTTTTTTTTCTTCAGTTTTTTGTTTTGTTGGTTTTTTTTTCTTTTCTTTGCCTTTTTTTCCCTTTTATTTGGAGGGAATGGGAGGAAGTGGGAACTGGGAGGTGGGAGGTGGATTTTGTTTATTTTTTTAGCTCATTTCCAGGGGGCGGGAATTTTTTTTAAATATGTGTCATGAATAAAGTTGTTTTTGAAAATAAAAATTGTTCTGGCCTTTTGGGTGTAAAGATCATTTATCTTAGTTCACTGATGGCTGTTAATTTTACTTTCTGGAAGTATTAGTGTTATGGAGGGGAAGTTCCTACTTGTAAATTAAGGGGTAAGAGTTAAAGTATAACTCGAAGGAACATTATGCATTTAGTTTGGATGATGGGTGTTCTGCTAAGTGAAACAATAGCCAAATTAGAATGATCTAACAAAATTTACTTCAAAATGAGCAATCCATAACCACACCCTAGGTTCTTAGCTTTGGTACCTTAGAATAAACTCAAATGGGAAGACCAAAGATCGCTCCATTCCTCCATCGGTAAAGTGACCACTTGGCCCATTAATAAGGAATTAAATGGGCCTAGTTTTGGTGTCTAAAATTTTGCTGGGTAGATGTTTGGCTATCTTGCTAAATATGTCTAAATTTGTATAGACATTGAACCCAGGTGTTTCGTACCAAGCTACATCTTCAACCCTTTTTTAGAAACTTTTTTTTCAGAAATGATGTCTTGGGGGCTGGGGATTTAGCTCAGCGGCATAAGCACCTGCCTTGCAAGCAGGTGGTCATGAGTTCGATCCCTGGTACCGATAAAAACCGAAAAAGACTAAAAAAAAAATGTCTTGAGAGGGTCTTGCTATATTTGAATTAAGTATGTGGCCCAAACTGGCCTCAATTTGTGGCTCAGCCTCATGGGTGCAAGGATTACAGTTGTATACAGCCACACCGTTTTTTTTCTTTTTTTTGACATGTAGTTAGGCTAGCCTTGAAACCTGGACCACCTCAGAGCTGGGATCACACTACAGGAGGATAGTCTTACACACCTGGTTCGTTTTTTTAAAGTTCTGAGAATATCAGTTCCCTGGGCTATCCTCAAACTTGGGGTTCTCTTATGTCTGCTTCCCAGAGTACTGAGGTTAACAAGCCAGAGTTGGATCATGATAGCTAGCTTTACATATTCAACAGCTTGTTTTTAAAGATCTTGGGCACTGCTCTCCTGCACAAGCCTGTAGAATTTTAAACTTACTTTTTAACTTTTTATCGGTACTGGGGATTGAACTCACGACCGCCTGCTTGCAAGGCAGGTGCTTATGCCACTGAGCTAAATCCCCAGCCCCAAGCCTATAGAATTTTAAGACCTGTGCATATTGGATTCTGCATTACCTCTGAGCATGATCTGGGTGTTCTTTTCTATAGAAATCTTAAGTTGAAATAGCTGTGTTCTGTACCTAGGAAGCCTTAATGCACCCCACTAGCTGCATTGTTTTGAATTCTCAGGTCTGGGCTGAGAATTTTACTGTATTTTATTGCTGATTATACTGCTTTCTGTTGTGAGACTGAGCACCCGAAGTCTTTCCTAGACAGCTCTGTGGAAGCTCTAGTAGAGGCTGAAAAGCCATAGACTGGATAAAGTGTGCACGATGACTAATTCACCGGAAGCTTCAAACAGGACCAATTGTGCTAATCCTGATGAGATCTCATCTGCCCACCAGGGGGCACCAAGGGTCTGGTTCTAAAAGATTGCTTCAAATTAGCTCTTGGAGGGTGAATCCCCCCCCCCCCCCCCCCCGTGAATGTTTTCTGACCTTTGGTTTTCATTTTGTGTTGCATCCATTTACTGTGTCATGTCCTTTTGGGTCTCCATTCCTGTCTGCACTGTTTGCGCAGCTTCCCATTTGTTGTTGCCCAGAAGGCCTTGTGATGCCACTAGTATTTACCAGGTGTGGAGCTAAGTTCTATCCCTGTCATATTTCTCTGCCTCATCTTACCCTACATATGATGTGATGTGCATTCATTCCATTTGTGCTGCTGTATTTTCCTGTGTGATTCATGCTGTTCCTTCTATCCTGCTAGGGCATTCTAACTTTTCATCAGAATCATTCACACCCTTTGATGCATAAGCCAGGTACTATAGCCATGCATGAAGCTGTCCAGATTCTTCTGTCAAAATTAATCACTGATGATCACAGGGCAAACTGTTCCTCTCTAGAATCTCCTGGTGTTACAGTTAATTACATCCCTGTTTCCCCATTAGATAGCAAGCTCCTTGAGGGCACAGATTGTGCCTTTGTATGTCTCACAGAACCTGGCATTTATTATTGTTATTATATATACTATTAGTACCTGCTGTTTAATAGATGCTTAAAAGATGTTAAATCCCTTAGGGTTGCCTTTCCTGTGTTTTGTTGTTGTTGTTGTTCGGGAATCAAACTCAGAACCTCATGCTTGCCAGGTAGGTGCTGTGCTCCTGATCTCTATCCTGCCTTTTTTGTCTTAACAGACAATAATGTTCCCTTTATCCTACTGGTTCCTAGCTCCTCCCATCCTCATACTTAGGCAGATTAGGGTGTGGCCAGCCATCTGGGCAAGTGGGGGTGTTGTGTTAGTAAGGGAGATCCAGGACATAAGCACAGGGAAAAGCAACAGCAGTGACAAAAACAGTTCCCCAACCCTGCACCTGGGACCCATCAGAAAATGTTATCTGGGAGCTAGGGGTTTAGCTCAGCGGCATAAGCACCTGCCTTGCAAGCAGGCGGTCGTGAGTTCGATCCCCGGTACCGATAAAAATGAAAAAGACAAAAAAAAAAAAAAAAAAAAAAAAAGAAAAGAAAAAGAAAAAGAAAACGTTATCTTCAATTCCTTTTTTTTTTTGTCTTTTTCATTTTTACCGGTACCGGGGATCGAACTCCTGACCGCCTGCTTGCAAGGCAGGCGCTTATGCCCCTGAGCTAAATCTCCAGCCCCCATTATCTTCAATTCTGGTGGGCAATCAAACAGGATTCTGATATGACAGCCTAGATTTGAAGCCCATCTGAGGAGTAGGGAGACACAAAAAAGGGTGCCCATTAATTTGTGGCTTTTGTAAGTTTTCAGTGGCCCCCTCTGCGCTCAATAGAGGCTAATAATTTTCCTACTTTTATCTCTTTAATAACCTCACTATCTTTTGCACTTGTCTTGACCAATTCTTTGTTCAGGACAAGAAGCTCAGCAGCACCCTAAAACTGAGTAACAACAGGACTTTCAGATTTCCTACTTTCCCTGGTATTTTTCCCTTTGTCATTATCAGTTATCTTTCTTTCCTTTTTTCTTTTTTCTTTCTCTTTTTCTCTTCCTTCCTTCCTCTCTGTCTGTCTGTCTCTGTCTGTCTCTGTCTCTCTGTCTCTGTGTCTCTCTTTCTTTTGATACAAGGTTGCCTCAAACCCATAGCAATCCTTCTGCCTCAGCCTCCCAATTGGTGGGATTAGAGGTGTGTAGCACCACACCCAGTTTGTTTTTTTCTGACACAAGCTCTCTTTTTACACTATAGATTGGCCTCAAACTCACCAAATTTTCTTGGCTCAGCTTCCTGAGTGCTAGTATTACAGAGGGGCAGAAGTGGGCAAGGCAAGTTGCTAGCCTTAAACAAGCTCAGGTGTTTTTCATTCTTTATTACTGACTACTATTACTTTTTGGTACTGGGGATCAAACTTGCTACCTCACACTTGCCAGGCAGGTCCTGTGCTGCTGATGCTCAGTTGTTTTTTTGTTTTTATTCTTTTTTTTTTTTTAAGAGAATAAAAACAAAACAGAACAAAACAATTCAGAACAGAACAATGCAAGCAATATAGGCCTTTAAAACAAGACAATGGCTACCATAATTATTGTATTCCCAAATATGAATTAAGTATAGTAATCTAAGTATTGTAATCCCTTTTCCAGTCTTCCTCACAATCCAAAAAGTAATATTTATAATCCCATTGAGACATTATTGGAATCCTGGCAAAATAATTCCAATCTACCACCGCCAGCAAAATCTTCAGAGAGAATAAAGACACCAAGACATATTCAAAGTTGAGGGCAGCCAAGGGGTCCTAAATCCAATCCTTGTGAAGATGTGTGGACAGAGACCCTGATCCTAGGCTTCTCCCAGAATTTATTATCTTGTTAAGAAGGGGATGGCTGGAGGGCTGGGGATTTAGCTCAGCGGCATAAGCACCTGCCTTGCGGTGCTTATGGTCCTGAGTTCGATCCCTGGTACTGGTAAAAAAAAAAAAAAAAAAAGAAGGGGATGGCTGGAGGATGAGTGACTGAGGATGGTGGGAATTCCGTGAGTAATTTGAGCTGACCAGGCAGGTAGCCAGGTAAGGAGAAAAGCATCTCTGCAAAATACAGAAATAAGGATATGCAGAAGGATCAATTTGCCTAATTCAATTAAGGTAGCAACTGAATTGTTTTTGGAAGCCATTGCTTTGGTTTCTGATATGTAAATTTTTGTGCCCTGGGAACTCATAACCTCTTTACTTTGAGGCTCATACACAGTTGATATTCCTGGAATTGATGGCTCTACCATCCTGCTGTACTTATATATTTTACAGAGAACACTATTCGAGGAAACAGGAGTCTGATGATTTTAGAGATTACACACCAGTACCCAGCTAGCCTTATTTACAATGCTTAGAGCCAACTGAAGTGAGAAGGAAATACCATAGTCAGCTCTGTACCTATCAGTATAATGTCTCCAAATAATCAAAGTCACAGCAATTTTTCTGCATTCAGGAGGAGTCACACAAATTGTCTCCCACACATAATGTCTCTTGTTTTCTTTGAAGTAGTTGTCCAGATTCCTTCTATCCTGCTTCTATCTTAGGTTGAAATAGCTGTGTTCTGTACCCAGGAAGCCTTAATGCACCCCACCTTTTACACAATAAAATCAAACAAAACAAAATAGAATAAAACCAGTCAAAACAAAAGAATGAAAGCATTATGGGACTTCAAAACAAGACAATAGGAAATAAGCAATGGCTACCATAAGTCTCTTGTTTTCTTCAAAATAGTCATCCATACTTTTTTTTTTTTTAACTTTTTATCGGTACCAGGAATCAAACTCAGGACCATAAGCACCGCAAGGCAGGTGCTTATGCCGCTGAGCTAAATCCCCAGCCCCTGTCATCCATACTTTTACACATCATGAAATCAAACAAAAGAAAACAGACTAAAACCAATCAAAATAAAGGAATG